GAAGGAAGGAAGGAAGGAAGGAAGGAAGGGGGGGAGGGAGGGAGGGAGGAAGGAAGGAAGGAAGGAAATGACCCACAGGCTCGCCCACAAGCGGTCTTCACTATTGAGGCTCCCTCTTCCCACGTGACTCTAGCTTGCCTCAAGTGGAGGACAGAGCCCAGCACGCCACTGTAGAAGACAGCGAAAGCGGGAGACTGAGTCTCCGGATAAGGGTCTACTGTGCACCTGTGCGCACTGAGCTGGCAAAGAGGCATGGAGAGGGGTGGGGTTACTGGAGCCGGGTGTGGGGGTAAGGACAGGAATGCTCACCTGCAAATCTCCTTCCTGAGTCACGTCACAACGGACGAAGACAGTGCCAGGGAGTTCCTGCTCCAGAGCCCGGCCCCCCGCCTCTGTAAGAGAAAGACTCTGGGTCTGAGGGAGTAGAGTTAAGGCTTAGACGCCAAAGACTGAGGGCAGAGGTCTAGGGTTGAGACATGGGTCCAGGCATGGGGGCTGAGGGAGGAGGGCTAGGCTTGGATCCCTGCGTCGATGGAGGAAAGGCAGGGCTGAGGACTGATCACTCACCGTCCTTGTCACAGAAAACCACTTGAGCTCCACTGTCCACTGCCAACAGAGAGGAAGAAAAGTTACGGGTCCTGCGGACTTGGGGCGCTGCCTCTGCTGCCCCCTTGTGGACACCCGGAGCACCGCTCTCCAGAGGCTCTCGTTTTTGTTCTCCCAAAGGGCAGAATCTTGAGACAAATTCCCTTCCCTCACCAAGCCTCTGCTGGACCGCCATCCTGGATTCTAGAAAAATCCCAAACCTACAAGGAATATCTTCCTCAAAGCTATCGTCTGTAGCTAAGGATCCATCAGGGAAAACCTAACCCTAACCCCTAATCCTAACCCAGAACTCTTTCGGTTTTCTCTGTGTAGCCCAGGCTTAGTAGAATGTGCTCTGTGGACCAGACTGGCCTTGAACTCTTCCTGCCTAGTGCTGGGATTAAAGGCGTGTGCCACCACCGCCCAGTCAAGGGAAGAACTCTTGCTGGCAGGCTTATCAGCATCAGCTGAAGCCATCAGCACACAACTTACTCAACAGTCCAAACTGACTCAGGTAAGAATAAAACTGAGGGGAGATGGCTCAGTGATTATGTTTAACTCAGCACTGGCTGTGACTGCTCTTCAGAGGACTCAGGTTCAATTCCCAGCACCCACATAGCAGCTCACAACTGTCTGTAACTCCAGTTCCAGGGAATACAACTCTCGCACAGACACAAAAACAATGCACAGGAAAAATATGAATAAACAAATAACTTAAGAATAAATAAATTAGGGCTGGAGAGATGCCTCAGTGGTTAAGAGCATTGTCTGCTCTTCCAAAGGTCCTGAGTTCAATTCCCAGCAACCACATGGTGGCTCACAACCATCTGTAATCTGGTGCCCTCTTCTGGCCTGCAGACATACACACAGACAGAATATTGTATACATAATAAAAATTTTAAAAAAAAGAATAAATAAGGAAATTTTAAAGAAAAGGAAATTGAGTCTCTTCCACACTCCGAGAACCTGTCGTCCCAGCCATCCGTACAACCCAGGCAGGAAGACTCTTACTCACTGAAGGCTCTCACGATCCCAGCCCCGATGCCTCGAGCACCCCCAGTCACCACCACCACTTTCCCGGAGTATCGGGGTACAGCTGCCATTCCCAGTTGGTTTGGCTCCTCTCCTGCGCCCTCACAGCCTCTTTCCACCTCCAGAGTCTCCAGAAGCAGTGGGACCAGATATACAGGCTGTGCCCTTAAAGGCTGCCCCTGGGAAGGGTGTTCCCATGAAGGTCACACACCTGGGAGAACTGGGCAGGCTCTCCTACCTCGGACCTGGAGATTGGGTCCTAGCCCTTATTTCTCGGACCCAGGAATCCCCACCCTGACAATCCTCCTGCAGACTCAGGGTCCCAACCCCAGACCTCCCCCGTCAGATTGTCTCCAGACCCCTAAGGGCAGGCACCTTTTCCTCTGACCATCACGCTCCAGCTGCCTCCCTCAGACCCAGCGTTTTAATAGCTGGCTCCCAACTGTCTCATCTTGTTAATCCCAAACATGGAAAATAAGACCACTACCACAATTTGGGTCAAATTTCAAGCTGGCCAGTGACTGCCTCCTAAGTTGAGTTAAAGAGAACAGAGAATCCAGCTCTTGGGCCCTTTTTAAGGAGTAATTTCCCAGAAGAGAGACGATGTGGTAGTGAGGAAACACACAAATAAAAATCACCTGCCATGTAATTAGGGAGGGCCAGGGTTAGGAAGGGTTAGGGAGGGTCAGGGTATTCTCAAAAACAAATCAATGTCATGGGTTGGGGAAGGTCAGGTTCCAGGAGACGAAGCAACTCAACTCTCACAGTAAAAAGAAACTTATGCAGCATAGTTGCTTCTGATTCAAAATGGAGTCACGTAGGCTCCTCATACCCACCCACCCCCGCTTATGTTTCCCCATCAAATCTTTGATAGGAGGATGTATTATAATATCGCCCAGCAGCAATGCTTCTAGACCTGTTTATATGACTGGTGATTGTGGGGCCCAGGCGCAGAGCTACCACAGCCGGCAGCACCAGGTTCCAGGAAACGCCCCAAGCCTGCACCACCCAGGGGCGGCCAGCATCTGAGGGAAGCACCTGACGCTCCAGCCAGGATAAGATTAGATAAGACCACCAGACGGCCCTGAGCCCAGGACTCACTCACTCCCCTTTTGCCAAGACCCCTAGACAAAAGTCAGCCAATCAGGGTCCTGAACCCTGGAAATCCCTCCCCCCAACCTCTACTATGATAAAATCCCTACCCCAACTGGGCTGGGCACTCTGCTCTCAGCCTCTGTGTCAGACAGACAGACAGACGGAGTCCAAACTGAAGCCTGATAAAGGCTCTTGGCTTTTACATACAGGACTCGGTCTCCTAGTTGGTTTTGGGGGACTCCATGATCTGGGCAATAGTGATGTGTTGGATCCTGGAGTCCAAACACCGAGGAGGAGTCGCCCCCAAGAGACCATCTCTCACACCACAGCTGATGTAAAAGCATGAGGATTTTATTAATTCTGCCATGACAGGGTCTCTCAGCATTAAAGAGGCCAGAAAGACCCCGAATAGCTGGCACAGGTTACTTTTAAAGGAAAAAGTTACAGAAGCAAGGGGGGTGTCTGGGGGTTGTTCCTTGACTATTATGATTGGCTTATTCAAAAGGGCTATTACCAATAATTGGCTGGAGAGTGGTTGCCAGGTAAAAGGAAACATCTGAGGGTCACTTTGACCCCTTTCCCAGTGGTTGAGTCAAATCAAGTCTCTGGGAGGCCTCCCACCTGGTACATACATCAGGAACTGAGTCAACATCTTAAAGGTTATCTTGCCCCAATTTCTGGAGAACACTCACAAAGACTAATTGTTAGATTCCTGGTTCCCAGGGGATGGGGGGGGCACTGCTGCTGAGAGGCCTCCAAATTGTCAGAAATGGCTTTTAGAGTTCTGCATTACAGATGAACTTTGTCATGCGTTGGAGTCACACACATCAGTTAATCACTGATTATGGTAATTGGTAGAAACCACATTAGAGGCCAGTGAAGGAGAGAACATTTGAGCCATGTTGGCCGGTCTAAATTTGTTTGAGAGATCTTGTCTATTTCTTTACATAGATCACCAATTTGTTGTCAATAGTATGGGAGAAATCAGAGATATTAAGACAGTACACTCCAGTAAACTGCTGACGACCAAGATGGTTTAAGTAACAGGTTTAAGTAATCGATAATGGCTCTATTTTGGAGAACAGTGGCTCTCAGTTCTTCCACTTCTTGATTAATTCCTGATAACATTTCTGCTGTAGCTTCTGAAATTAGGCAGGCTATTTAGAGCCTCCCTCTGTAGTCCCGACAAGTCCTGGGACAGGTGACAGAAAGGCAGCTCCAGTGGGATCCAACAGCTGCAGGGAATCTTCACAGTTCTCAGGAGGAGCTCTTGCAGTCCCAGGACAGATTACAAGGGTTTGCCACCCGGTGGTGGCACATGCCTTTAATCCCAGCACTCGGGAGGCAGAGGCAGGCGGATCTCTGTGAGTTCGAGGCCAGCCTGGTCTACAAGAGCTAGTTCCAGGACAGGCTCCACAGCTACCGAGAAAACCTGTCTCTAAAAACAAAACAAAACAAGACAACAACAAAAAAGGGACATCTGTGCAATGAATACATAAATAGCAAATAATTTTTTTTTTTTTTAAAAAAAGGAAGGGCTGGAGAAACTGCTCAGCGGTTAAGAGCACTGGCTGTTAGTATTGCGGCATCTGTACTGTCCTTGGGGGTCCTGACGGGACACAACCTCAGTTGTGGCCATTAAGAGCACCTCCTGTGCACATTCGCTATTTCCCTTTGAGAAGGGCCCTGCCCACCTTCTCTCTCTCTCTCTCTCTCTCTCTCTCTCTCTCTCTCTCCGCCTCTCTTTTCTCTTCTGCTGCTCCTGTCCCCCGAAAGGCTGGTCTCCACTTTCCCCTTCCCTCTTTTTCCCTAGTGAAAACCTCTCCACGTGAACTCTCTTGCATGGCATCTTTCTCTCCACTTGCTTTTTCTAAATCACATTGGTTCCCTGACCAGGAAAGGCTCTTCTGGGATTACCACCCATAGAGCCTTCAACCGGCAGGTACGTTTTCTGTGTTTTGTTTCATGTCTCATGTCTGTGTCCCATGTCTTTCTGCAAGGGGGCCCAGGAACTGTAAGCGCTTGGAGATGACCTGCAGATGTGCAAAAAGATCACAGGCCGGGCGCCTGGTGAAGACGTTCCCAGGGTGAGACACGCGGGTAGCG